CCATGCGCTGCACAAGAGTGAAATCATGTTGAAGTCCTAGTGCTTGACCGTCTGGGTTGGTGATGCGCTGGTAAAATGTCTTATGGGGGATGTTAAGCTAAGAGGCAGGTTGTTTATGTAAATGTGAAATAAAAGCGGACCCACTTCGCTGCCCAGGGAACTCCGGATTTATTGATAATTTAGAAGACTTATTCTCTGCGACATGTTTTGCCTGTTTACGATGCATTCATGCATCCATGCCGTATATCCTTCTTTAATAAGTTTTACTCTAACTTTCAACTTTGTATTTAACTGCTTATCTAGGATTATTTAGTTTTTCCTAGTTTATATTAACTCATTTATTTTCAGACACTCGAGAAAGCAAATTATCCCCGATCCGGCCTTTTAGCCAGACATATTGGGGACCCCTGCTCTACACAAATTTAGTTGTAGAATATCGCATTTCTTTCTCTCAGACTGTGAATAAAAAATGTGGAGTTTATCGGATAAATTTGAATAAGCGAACATTTTATCGGCGATTGTTTTTCTGAGTTTAGTTGATTTATCCGGAAACACGGAAGTTTACATATCGGAATCCTCGGACCACTTTCCTGAACTTTCAGCGTCATCTACGGTCAAGTATTCCGCACAATCATCTAATATGTTATTTCTCATGTTTTTAATCCTGTTATTGGTAATATACACATCAGACGTATATTGCCAATCTAATAATTCCCATCACTTGCACTACGTGTCAAGACTATATGACACTTTTGTAAATATGCTGTTCTATACTTTGAGATGAAAAAGACGTGATTTTGATTTGACGGCTTTGTGTAAAAGCCTGTATGAATTACTTGATTGGACTTATCTAATTTTAGCTATTAACGTCTCTATGGCCCTACCTTTAGAATAGAGGTGCCGGCTGCTTGGCCTTGTTGACGAATTTAATTAATGTTTCGCTCTGTCTGCTGGCGTTTGTCAAACCGCGATAGCCAAGCATAGAATCCTCAACGAAGGAGTAAACCACCCTGTCCGCCGCCCATTATATCGAATCTCTATGAAGGCACGAGAGGCCATCGAATAGTAAACACAGGAAAGATTCGACAATGACATCCTCCAGCCTCTGAACAACCCATAGAATTCCCCAGTAGTGCTCGTTCGGAGGGACGAAACATCAAGTTTCTGAGTCGAATATCATCTACATAACAATGTGACGAAGAAGGACGTCTATCCGCTGCCCCGCATAGACGACATACTTGACCGATTACGCCACGCGAATTACTTTTTGTCGAGGTACTCGAAGACTGGCAACTGGCAGATTGCATTCGACAAGCCAGACCGATCAATGATTGAGTTAATCACACCAGATAAACTAATCGAGTTCAAGGCGATGTAATTTTGGCCTACATACGTCGGCGACATTCCAGCGCGTCTTGATTACAGTTCTGACTGGTTTTACGTCTTCAGTGGCGGATTTGTCTCGCATACCTGGATGACGTCGTAATATTTTCAAGTATCTTCGACGAACGTATGAACCAACTTCGCGCTCTTTTGAAAGCCATTAACCCTATTGAAATATCTCATTTGTATGACACATTTCTTTGTCCAATAAACACATATGAACCATACAAGATATTTAATAACATATAAGAATCATATAAAATCCATATAAGATGTAAAATAACATATAAGAACCATACAAGAATCTTGTGAGAAGTTTCCTATATGGTTTTTATGTGGTCTTCTCTATCTTATATGGTTCTTATATTGTTCTTATATGTTCTTTTATATCTTGTATGATTCATATGTGTTTATTGCACACAACAAATTTCTCATACAAATGGCTTTTTCACCAGAGAAGGCAGCTGAATTAAGACTTACACCGTCAAAGTTACAGTTTGCTTACGGAGAGCTGAAAGTCTTGGGTTATGTTGTGATCAAAGAAAACGTTCGCCAAGACACCGAGATATCTGCTGTTGCCGCGTTTCTCATGCCAACCGAACAAAAGGCATTCCGAAGGCTTATTGGAATCTGCGCATTCTAGAAAAGCTATGTCAAGGACTTCGCACGGTTCGCCGCGCCGCTGACGTATCTCACCAAGGACGCTACTGACCTCGCCTAGTACTTGGTTCTTTGGACCAGCACACCGTCGACACACCGACGCACTGACACACCGTCGCAAGGAACTCGGTACTTGGTGCGATATTGGTACAGACGCAAGACGGCGCCAAACGAGTCATATCGTATGCTGGTCGTGCACTCTCCAGGTTGGTTTCAATTCCTGTGCGGCTGAGAGGGAATACCTTGTGGTCATCCTGGCTATCAGAAATTTGCGTCTGTGCTTATATGGCATCCCTTCCGTATGATTAAAGATCATCAGTTTCTGTAACGGCTCTGGTGCTACTGCTAACGCCTTCGAAAATTTGATATTTTTATTGTCCACAATTCGGGCCGTAAGCACAGTAACACAGACTGCCTCTCCACATCACCGGCGGGCCCAACTCCTGTATGCACAAATGAAGACGACGAGCTTTTACTTGATGCCGTTGACGTTACCGATTTCGCTTCACACCAAGGAGAGGACCCGGAAGTTCGGCCTCTGATTGAGCACCTTTACGGCCGTGGAAGCGCCATTCTCTGCGCGTTCGCAAGTCTGCTTCAGACTTTCTCACTCCGACGCGCGGTCACATATAGAAAAATGACTTCCAGGACAACGCTTCTTCGTGGTTCCTGGTGATCCAAAGTGCACCTTGTGCAGAAATTCACAAAGCAAGTCAATACGACCCGCCTGCCGGACACCAGGGATAGAGTTGCACCCTTGCAACGTTTAAGAAAAAGTATATCTGGCCTTGACTTTCAAAAACAGTGCGCAGTTACTCACGGTGTTGCCGTTGATGACAACGGCGCAAGGCACCGTTCGCACGACTAGACGGACTACTTTAGCCGATTGCGACACCGACGATATTGATTTACTAGGTAGAGATGGACTTGCTTAGACCATTTCTCACATTCACGGAAGAAAACCACTGGGTAATTGTAGGCACATACTACCTCACTCGGTATGTTGAAACGAAATCAATGCCCTTTGAGAATATTTTTGAAGTGGCAACGTTTTGTGTCAGGTTGTCCTCCGGCAAGGCGCACCGCGAGTCGTGATCACTGACCAAGGTTGAGCGTTCATGACACAGCTAACCCAAGTGGTCCTACACCTCAGTGGCACCGGTCACAGTCGATGCACTGCGTATTAATCGCAGAAAAATTGACTAAAAATGGGACTGAACAAAACGCTTTAAGACGATGACAATGCACGTGGACGTGGAACACAAGACCTGGGACGAAGCTCTGCCATACATCACGTTCGCGTACCATTCGTCGGCGCAAGAAACCACAGGGTTTACTCTGCTCGACGTGGTACATGGATGCAAAATAACCACGATGCTTGATGCGATGCCGCCACACGCACCCCACGACGATGCCTTTGACGCTGTCCTGCTAGTCAGTCAGCTCGCTGCAGAATCCCGCCGGTTGGCAAGAATCCGTATTTAAGACCAGCAGCGGTTTGACGCCAGGCGTTACCACCTTCGTCGCCCAGATGTCTTCTTCCAGCCTGGTAAAAAGGTGCGGGTCTGTGCGCCGATAAGTCGCCACAACTCCACCGGAATCTTAAAAAAAAAAAAAAAAAATTGTAACTTTTGTTGTATTAAGTTTCACGCTGGCTTGGACACCTCACCTACGAAGTCATACCTGGCACAACAAGACCTTCATCTCGGTGTCCGCCACTGGATTTCCTATCTGCACAGCATCAACAAAAAAAGGGTGGGGGGTAAAAAAGCATATTTTACGGGTGGGCCAAGTTGATCGAGATTTTTGTAATGAGCCGCCGCAGACTACCGCCGCGAAGGGGCGATAACCCAGCGGGGTTTGTGGGTTAACAGAAGCCACCATTATAACCGAAAAAAAATGCGGAAAAAAAAGTCACGCAACCCTCATCAGCAGAAATGCGTGACGCCGAGAGACGACGTCACTGGAGTATCACGTAATGCTGTGCGAATAGCAACTCTCGTCCACCGCGCCCCTAAATTGTGTACGTTGTGTGTAGGAAGCCCTTCATAAACTGCTCCTGTACTTATTCGTTTCTTTTTTCCCTCTTGACATTGCATCAATTTTATGTAGTTTGTCACACCCCCTATTACGTGCTATTTTTTTATAAATTTTACGCATCGTATCGATGCATTTTTGTTTTTAAAATTGAAAGAATGTCGCGTGCGTTGGCCATTAGGCAGCACACTTGTCTAACATGCGGACTTCCAAGATTCAAATTGTTTTCATGGTTAATTTTTGTTAATCTTCCGTTGATTCTCTAAACTATTCTAGAAATATTACGGTTGTTCTTGCACAGAAATGTACGGAAAATGTCGTCGCTATAAGAACAGCCCTGCGTGGCTTCAGCAGGTCAATCCTTCGCCAGCGTCCCTACACCCTTTATTTTATATTTTGTTTTGGTGCAAGTTCGCCACGTTAAATGTTTAATTTCCCCAGTTTTTCTGTTTTCGCCGCTTGGTATTCCTCATAATCTAACACATTTGTTGCACTGAATGATGACGCTTTTAACACACATTTTGGAGTATATACGTTGTTTTTGACTAATCGTTTGTCAACATATATCTTAGAAGATTACGAAGTCATGGGGTCTTCATGAGCACGTTAAATAAATTTACGAATGAATGGATGTATTATTTATTGAATGATTGTATAATCAAATATTGAGTTCGTAAATAATCTTTTAACTAATTACGTTAAGAATTCAAGGTTGACCTTCTGGTTGATCGCCGCCGCGATAATATGACCCTAGAGCTCTTTTGTCTCTTAATGGCCCAGATGAACATATGCACTCTTGGTCTTCCTCTCCTCTTCGCTGCACTAAATGAACGAAAACAATTAATGAACCAACTATTGAGTCAATGAAGGAAGTAATGTAAAATGCTAAACTAACTTGTTTCCTTTTCTTTTCTTTGCAGCGGTCATCTTCGTGTTTGTCCTCTTAATGGTTATATTCTCCGGTTTCTCCGCCATCGCATCCCTCGTCTTGATCATCGGCCTTTGTACAGTAAGTCAAACCTTGCTCCATCCTAGCTGAATTCATATTTCTATTTAATTGAAAGTGGTGGGGTTTCTATATCTTGTTTTGACAACCTTGTGGGTGCATCGTAAAAAAAGCAAGAATGAGGGAAGCCGGTGTTGATAAAACAGAAAAATAAGAGTAACTGCATGATATTGCCTTAAGGTCGAGAATAAAAATAGAACCACAAGAACCAAAAGAAGAAAACAACATTGCCGGTGACTCCGCGTTGAGCAACTTTAGTTCAAACACTGAGAAAAAGCAATAAAACAAAAATAGTAAAATAATTTTGTAGTTCGGTATTTTTTCTCTCAGTGTTTAAACTCTGAGGAAAATGCTATTTTTTCCTACTTTTTTATGTGGGATAAATATTGCTCCTTGCGTTTAATGACATGATTTTTATGTTCTAGCATTTTAGTTGCATTTGTTTGTTTACTGCCCTTTAATACATTTTTTGTCATTAGGCCTGAACAATGAGGCCAGCGAAGCAGCAAGAGATCCTACCGTAACGTCTTCTATTGAAGAAGCAATTCGTTTCTTCTTCAATTGTTCTCAAAGGTTGTCAGAGTTAATGTCCTAAAGTTTTATTTGTATAATACACGTACAAAATTGAGCGAACTTCAAATAGTTCTACACGAACTATTTCAACCCCATACCACACAATTGACGCAAAATATGAAACTGCTCAAAAATAATAAATGAATAAATAAAATAAAGTTTCTTCGAGAGAAAAAGCTAATTTGCGAAACATAGGTCAGTATCTAGAGGGAGCATTATTTAGATGTTAATTCAGTACAGGATGTATTAATTGTGCATTTCTAGTGGAAAAATTAGTTTTACTTTGTTTGATAAGCGAAGAATTAAAGTATGCATCATTGCTGTATTCTGTCAGTTATTTTTCACTTTCTTTTCGTCTTCGCACTGCTTTTGTTTCCAATCTTCTTAGTGCCTCTGAAAACGAGGATAAAACTCTAGGATTGTCCAACAATTAGCTTCGCAACGAATAGGTTTAAAAGACAGTTACACGTGCAGGATCTCTTAATTGAACTAGATTGTCTCTGTACCCATTTTCATCAAAGTTTCCTTGTCTCTACTTTTGTCTTATGTGGACAGGATAATCGCCTCTTGCTCCTTCCGTGGATAGCCTGTGTGTCAATCACAACTATCCTGGATGTTGCACTCTCTTTCTACTTTCTCGCAGACGCGGTAAGCATTTTTAGTCCTTGAATTATCTGCATGTATACCTTGTCGTCGACGGTCCCTGCAGGGTGTGGAATAAAAGCCCTCCCATAGCATAGAACTCCATTATCGGTCTGAGGTATCGGCTTTACAAAGAGCAAGCGAAAGTTTGATGCTGAGGGCAGCACTAGGTGCGAATGAAGGGTTCATACATAGCTGTGACTGTACTATGTTTCATGTTAAGATGGACCGCATAAAAGCTACCAGCCATCGAAGCCAATCCACTGCCATGAAAGTTTCACCTGATCTTTGCCTCCGGGAGGAGCGAAGCGACAGTCGGGGTGCGTCGTCACGTGATTCACTGACTGCGCTGGATTGGCTGAGATAGCTTCGTGTTTGCTGCGGTCATCGAGCAGCAGGAACGAAGTCAGCTTCGTATATACGTAAAAAAGGCAATTTTAGAAGAAAAAGAAAACAAAACAAAAACCGAATGGTGCGATTAGGTTGTTTGTAAAGTTCGCTATCAATGATTCCTTTTTTTTAACAGCACATTTCAGTGAATTAAATTGTGATTTAGAAGATTTGATATTCACTTTGTTTAATTTTTATATTATTTTATTAAAATATTTGTTTGTTGTTTTTGCTTGTAAAATAGGGTGTTCTTTTGGCTTTAGATAATTTTTTTCACAGTCCTTAGAATTATGATGCACGCTAGAACATATTCGCCTGTCATTCCGCTCCAGTGGTTCCGTTGGAGAATCCCCCCCCCCCCCCCCCCATCAAAAAAAACATTTAATATACAATCTTCCTTTTTTTAATAAAATGTGTTCCCCCATTCCTTTTTTTTCCGTATTCAACTTTGACAATTGTTTTAAAGAGATTGCGCGGAAGAATACAAAACAATACAATTCAATACGTTGAGCGAACACTTCTCAAGTTCAGATTTTCCTTCGGGTGAAGAATCCAGGAAAAGGTTGACAGTGGGCGGTACCTGTTGTCACTTTGATTGCGGGTTTGTAACTGTAACATCACGTTCAATACGTTGTCAATTTTTTCCACTTTCCTTTTCAAGACATAACAAAAATCCTTATCGCAGTAACCTAACACATACTCCAATTTCTTTTGTTATTTAAAAAAGAAAGAAAGATGACTTGTACCAGCTTCTGTGTGTGTCTTTTATACTTTCCGTTTTGCGTTTAAGCTCATAAAGTGACTTGCTCCAAACGTTTTGGTTTTGATTCAATTCCATTTTGTTCGCAGCTGAGTGACCTGGTGACTATTATATTCTGCATTGTGGACTACACCATTTGTGCATTAAACGTAAGGACATTCTTTATTCACAGCCAGTTGTTAACTGAATACAGAATCAAATAATAATTATATATTTATTCAGTGAGTGAATTGCGGGTAGACGTAGGTGGACTCTGCTGTAAACGCCTTTAAGCACCGTTTACTTTATTTACAATGACTATACTTTAAAAAAAAAAGAAAACTTGCTTGTTAGTTCTATATCGTCGAATGAAAGCGCAGCACGTCTATCAATGTACAACCAACTAGCCCAAACCTAAGTCCAAGGTTTATTAACACCTTTTTTATTTCTTTTTGGCTCCGTTTGAATGTGACAGTATTTAATCAAGAGTCTATGCCCGAGGTTAGTCTCTGCGTAGATGATGCTGGTGCTGTTAAAAGCTGTCCGGTGGTCTCTGACGTCGCAGAGCTCAGCCACTGCGCTGCGCTTATGGTCGAACTTTCGCACGTCGTTTTTGTGTTGGCGAGTTCTTTTATTGAAATTGCTCGTCTCGCTGGTCTAAATTTCTGGGCATTCAATGCAAGGGATCTTATATTCCACGCCTTCTTTTTTTTTCCTTTCACCGGGCGATGTTTTTGGACGGGGCATAAGCCATCCAAGAGTGGACATCACTTGATGGCCACGTTCATTCCTTCTTTGGCTATCACGAGTGTCAGCACTTCGCTTGTTCCTTTGATGTAGGGTACGCAGATGCGCGAGTTTGAGCAAGGCTGAATACCTGCTTGTGGCAGCTGGTGTCGGTAGCCTCGGGCTTGAGCCGTGTTATACTGTTTGCCGTATATATTTGTTTTGCTATATTGATTCGTCAGTTGCTTCTTTAATATATATTCTTGCGCTGACGTTTTAACCGATCATGTAGACACCTACTGAATATGTTTATCTTGACACCCAAATAAGTCGCGTATACTTTGCGTCACTTTGTATCAGGGCGCAGTGAAAGGTAATTGGATCAGCGGTCATGTCATACGCAAAGAAATATAACGGACGTAGTGACGTTCCACTTTTGACACCGCTTAAATAGCCGCCATTACCGCGTAGCGTCGGCTGTGCTCTGATTTATGGTGAAGCAAAGTATTGAAAGCTTTCTTTTGCTTTTGCCTATATCAGTTTTGTAAGTGTGCGTTTTAAAGCGTGTTCTTCGAGTATCGTAAGCCTTTGCACCTCGTCTGCGAACTGAACTGATCGCTTTCAAACATGTTGGCCTTGCAGATCTATTGTTTGTTGTGCGTCGTCTCCCAGTACCAAGAGTACCTTGCAGGAAGAGGGCGCTCTCACACCGTGGCGGCTGTGCAGGTACGTGCGCATCGCTCTCTAAATGTTTCTGTTGGGTCTAAAGCGCGGAGTTAAGACAGTTTTCATTCATCAGACTATTTTTCTGTACACGGTAAGGTCATGAAGCCTTGTTTCATTTTACAGACAGTAACGCGTGACGTATTTTATTTTGTTTTTATTAGTTGACGTAAAATATTAATTTTTCTGCGCCCTATGATGAAGGCGTAGATAGCACCCTACGTGCAACACGGGCCTTGCTTAGCTCAGCTAAGTATGCTTGAATGTTTCACCGACTGGTGTCTTCAGCGCTCCGTACCGCCTTTGCATTGAAAATCTTCCGAAGTTGCAAGAAAGGACGTTACGTGTAATGCAGTTGGATGTCGAGATCCTGTCGGCCGGTTGCAGAAGTACAGGCCTAAAGCACGAGCAAACACGAGTGTCGCTTTCGTCGAAGCGTCCCAACCCCTGGTTCTTGAAACTTTTGCGAACTCTAAAGCGGTTGTGCGAACTGCAACCTAATAAACTATTCTTTATTCACCTCGGCTGCTGTGCCACTACCAGGATTGCGGCAGGCGACAGCATGACGCTTTGATGATGTCAGCAGAAAAACATCGATATATCATATTTGGCGACCCGGTGAACAGATCATTCGGGGATGCGTTTCAGGTACGCTAGCTCACGTGCTTCGGTTATAGCACACATAAAAATATCCCGATATGTCTCGCCATATACGCATTGAGACATTTGTAAATGAAAAGGCACTACAGTGTGTTTCAGCTAACTTGCGCTTAGACGTACAAAAACTGGTACATGCAACGCTTGTTGAACAGTCCTATTGAGCAAGCCAATATTTGTCGCCGTCAATCCGCGACGTCCGGAATCGAAATCGTCGCTACGGTTGGTCTTCCACGATTGGGCGAATGGTGACTTTGATATGGCTAAAGGATTTTTCTTCGACGGAGGTAAGAGTAATGCGTTTTCATAGGTTATGAATGTCAAGGAATAATTCTAAGCAGCATTTTCTGAAAGTAACAAACGTTGTTGCAGCGCCCCATTATTATATACTGCAGTGAAAACTACAAGCCTGAGCTCCTTTCTCAAGGACGCACCTCGGCTTCACGAACACCCGTGCAGCAGAAATTCCTACTGTAGCTTTGGGCTGCAGCTTTGAGCCTTTTCAGCGGTACATAGAGTGACATCGGGTCCTTTTGTGGCAGTCTGCTTCTTTCTTACATATGATCCGGAGCATTTAAATGAACGGTCCACTTACGCTATACGTGGGTTGCACTGACGTCACATAGCATACTTTTGACCACCATGTAAGAGGAGACGGAAGTTGCTTTTGTAAGAATTTTGAGTGACGGGTTAATCTTCTATAATCTTCTGGGAGGAGAATAGCAACGTGTGTGCAAATCAGGGAGGCAGAAAAGAGGATCCTGATAAGAGGGGAGCTCCTTCTTTCCCTCTTCTGGTGGTCATCGGAGCGCTCTTTGAATGACGTTACGTGAATCCCATGTATTTGTGCGTGTCCACGATCACGGCATCCACCGAGCCAGCACATCTCCCGCACCAACACATCCATCGACGGATGTGTTAGCTCGGTGGATGTGTTGACATGCTTCCTTTGAAATCAGTTGCTCCATGGATGTGATGAAGCGGTGAATGTAATGGCACGATGCATCAAACGACACAATTAATGTAATGACGCGTGGGACCAGGTTGCCCATAATTGATGTAGTTTCTCCTTCGATTTTGTGTCACGACGACGGTAGAGCGGCTGGAAGGGGAACTGTGCCGGGCGCCGAATGAGCGCAGTGATATGGAGGGGTGCGAGGCGCGATGAAAAGCTTTAGAGCCTAGATTAGAGGGTCCATCTGAAGCCATGGGGATCGTTTTCAATTTAATGGCGGACGCCACCGGCGAAGATTGATCGCAAGTGCGCATGCGCCGCGTTTTCGTGTGGCGAGGAGGAGAGCAGTCGGAGGGGCTGAGACGCTCGCAGACGACCAACGCGTTCGTCGCTTGGTCGCTGCTTACATTGCAGACGTGGCCCATGAACCACGTTATCTCGATCAAGCAGCGGGAAACTCTCTGGAATCTAGGTTCTCTCAAAATGGTTGGCACCGCTTAACGCGTCTAGAGAGCCTCACGCAAGAGTGTGTCCAACTGCACACCCGGGGTACGTGTTCATGGGCGCCATTAAATAGCAAAGTTTAGCTGCGGGTCTAAAGGGCCACGTTCGGTTTTTCAAAGCAACTCCGGCTTAAACAGCCCTCGAATTGCTTGAATATTTTACGCGAAAAATAAAATTAAACTTTTCTTAAAACACCATTTTTGTTCCGATAGAATAAGTATTTTTAAGAGCAAAAAAAAAAAAAAGTGTCTAATCCGCCATCTCTAACGCCGACATTAAATTGCAAATACTTTCTCTGCTTTGAGTTTAACACACACTTACTTCAGGCTCTCTAAACTCGTCCGCTGGCTGCAGCTTCCCTAGTGGTCCCAAAAATTTTTATTCGCGTAATGTTCATCGCGGCATTTAGGCACACGACACATTTAACCGGTGAAACGTGAGCAATTCATGTAGTGACAGAAAGCCGAGTCAAAATGAGAAGTAGCTAGGCGACCTTTCAACACACGCGCTGCGGGCAGCGCGCGTGTGTTGCGATAAAAATCGTCGCCACCGAGAGTGGCGCAGCAGTCTTCAGGCGAGTCGTTTTCATCACAACTCTGTGCAGCTATGATTCCAGGAACGCGTCCCCGATTGGTGTGTTTCAAATATCGGTCCCTCGATTTTCGCCTGGTGATGTCATAGAAGTGTCATGCTATCGCCGGTCCCGATCCTGGCGGCGTCCCAACGGTGGTGGTGGATTCGGCAGACGGCTGCCCTGCTGCACGTCTCTTTACAGTGTGGCAGCCCACGGAAGTTTCGGCAAGCAGAAGTTGGGACGCCACGACGGCAGCGACACTCGCATTAGCTCGTGCTTTTCGCCATCATTTCTACGACCAACTGCCAGGATCGCGACATCCACCAGCATGACATTCCGGCTTCTTTGATGTCATTTGTTACCCCTTCGGGACGAATTTTGATGTACGGGCGGGATGGGACGCTACATACACCAGTTGGGCACGCGCTCCAGGCACCTTAGGGCAGCCCTTCGTTCCCTGCCCGGAACATTTCCCCTTTCCGCCACCAGAACGGCGCTGTGGGCACGATGGATGTGATGGCTCGAAACTGGGCGTATTTGATCGTCACCTGATATGGCACCATGGATGAGCTGGTCCCAGACGGCAAACTGCGATGATAGTACCCTAGGTCACGTGGGATCATATTTGCGTAAATCTCGCACGCTTTATTTAAAATTCTAAAAATTACACATGAAGTCTACCTTTAGGGAAACGGAGCATTGGTATGTTCCGCAGCACGCCCTAACACTATTGTATTGGGGGTTCACGCGCAATTTAATATTTCTTAAGTCAGCTGTTTCATCTCTTTTAATTGTCTGATATGGCACATCGCGAAACGCCTTGACTTTTTTCAATAGGACTGTAGACAATACTGCTTTAGGTCGACATAGGTACCGAGCCTCAGAATTTTTTTTTTACTGTCCTATATAGCGTCCTATAAATGTATGCATCAATATTTCTGCAAAAAAAAAATCAATAAATATGCGTCGAAGGGCTTTCGAATAATTACAAAAAAATAGTTACATTTCCCGGATTTGCCCTATTGTTTTACTCCGCGACGAGATCCCAATATCCGACGGGGCTTTCGAACGAGATTCCCTGCCAGACCCACGTCACCTAAAAGAAAAGGCGGGAAGCACCCCCCTTCCCCCCTCCCTTTAAAATGTCATATCTAGTATAGTTGATCCCAGCCGCAGAGCCTAGCTCGTGCCAGCGTCTCTGTCAGTGCGTCTTACAGCGTCCCCCGGTGAGCGTGACGGCTGCATGCGCGACGACGCCGCCAAAACACACGCCTCTGGCGCTTTGCGTCCACTGTCGCCGAGCTTCAGCGTGTTTGCCGCTTGGGGTGGGCTGGGGGATCATCAAGCGATGACGTCATACTTGGGCTTTCTCTTCTAGGAGCTACTGTCCGCCGTACGACCAATTGTGCCGCCGCCGCATGCACGCGCACGCTCAATCGAGTGGCCGAGATGAGACGACTTGCGGCTATATAACCTCGGAAAGTCAGAAGAGTGGCTCCGAAGACCGCCAATTTCCGTTACGGCGCCTGAGGAAGCTCCGCCTAGTGTGGGTATGCGAACAAGGCACGAGAGGGAAATCAAAAACGAAAGCGAGAATGGCGTGAAACAATTTTACGAATCATCCTTGTGAAGCAGCGCAGTAACGACAACGGCGCTACGATATTATTTATTTAGGCGAGCGCCGGGTCGCTTGCTCTGTGACAAAGGTTACGCGGTAGAGTAAATGCACCCAGAGTAGTTTTCTTTAAAATTTCTCTGCACAGTAGTTTTGACTTTTTTGTTTAACCACAATTTGAGCGCAGCCAACGCTCGGAGTTTGTGAACGGAATCACTCAGCGCGAGGGTTGCAACGTCACGACCATCGTCTGCGTTTTTCTGGCTAGGTTACCGCCGACAAAATCAATCGATCGCCTTGCGTCTCTAGGCTATACCTCTGAGTTCATGTTGCCTTTATTTTTTGACCGCGTTCTTTCAAATTGTGGGTGAGTGAAAACATTAACTTTCATTGACTTATTCATTTATTTATTTTACAGTCGGGGCGAGAGGCGTTACAGAAGGGAGTGTTGAGATCAAAATAACAGTCGACAATACTAAATAGTTCAACACGTATACGATCCCTTTCTTACCAAGCGGCGTCGGGTGGAACGCGAAGAGGGTTAAACAGGGTACTGGAGGCCGGCCCGCCTTCCGCAGGTGAAACAAAACATTGTATCGTTCGGTCGCTCGTTTCAGGACCGGGCGGCTGTTCGCTACCGACAGGGCGACAAGGTACGCACGGACGAGTCCCGCCACAACGGCCCGACCTCCTCGCTACTGCTCACCGTCCCGACGGTGTCCGCCTCGACGGGAGGCCCCCGAATGTCGACGGACATGAGTTCTATCTCGGAGGACGTCTTCAGTTCTCGCCGGATGAGCACGGAGAACACCAGCGCCGACATGGAACCGTGTCCCACAGCCACCCTCATCAAGGTACGTGCGACAGGGACGACGAAGCACTGGCGCTCGCCTGCTGCTAATTTATCACGGCTAAACTAACCTAACCTAATTTACCCAACCGAATCTGAACTAAGCTAATTGCATTTAACCAAACCTAACCGAACCTAACTAATCTTATTTAATGTTACCTAGCCTAACCAAACAGATCATCACCTAACGTAACCTAGCCTAGCCTAGCAAGACTTTGGAAAACCTAAGCCAACATAATTGAAGCCTATCTGTGTTTATCTCTATTCCGTTCGCCTCCAAGATGGCATGAAGCATTAGCTGCAAGAGCAAGCCACCACGAGCTCGTAGGTTTAATCCCTGCACTCGTGCAAGTGCAGTGAAGTTTCTTCTAAAGCATCAATTTCTGGTACGCAGCTTCCACTGAAGCCATGTAAGCGTATGGGTGATAAGAGTACAGCAGAAGTATGTTCTACCATCTTCCAGCACTTTTGTCCTTATAGTTTTGTTTTTGTTTCCACATTAACTGATCTTGGTCATGCATATTTTTGCGTATAAGTCGAATAGCATTGCACTCCATTTGCAATAGATCAGCCTATGTTTTTTTTTAATCAGAATCAATGCCGCCTATGTGAGTTTGCGACCTATGTGCATCCTATGACAAAATTTTAAGTTGAAGTTTTTGCGAGGATGTCTAGCAAAGTTCCGAGACACACTTACAAACGGAATTCCTAATTAAAGAGGTTTTGGACAAACAGGAGAGTATTTTTTTTTTAGTGCTATCGATAAAAAAACAAGAAAACAAAAAAAAACATAATCGACTACGCGAGCAAATTTACCGTATATCCAAGCATCTTGAGAGTGTTACACATAAACAAGGATCAGATGTACAACTTGTACCACTTGAGGATACCGTAAAAATATGAAAGAAGTCTCCGGTTCTCAGCATTAAAAGCTAGTCGACCTGAAAAAAAATATGTGTCAAAGGAACAACATAATCGTATTTTGCATTCATGAACACGAGCGGGAGACAGACGAGACAATAAGAAAGAAGGTTATACAAGCATTGTCCCGGGAAGGCCTGAACGTTGAAGTACACTTGGTGGAACCCATTTGCAGGCTTGGAATAAAACATGTAGATAAAATTAGGACAATTTTTTTTAATAAAATTGTACGACTAAAACGAAAAGAGTGATGAGTTTAGAAACTGTTTGAAACTGAAGGGCCAAAAAATGTCGGCATCGAATGACTACTGACAGGTGACTTTGAGTAAACGGGAGTTGCTCCAGAGCAAAGAAATATTAAAGAGAGAAAAGGTCTATAAGTTAAAACTTCTTAATGATAACCTGCGAGTCAAAAAAGGCTCGAGGTGCACTCAAGCGCTTCTTATGAGTTGTGAATGCGAAAGCATGCTTGTCGTTCTTCCGCGTCGTCCGTATTTGCGTCGGCCGATCGCAGGCTCTCCCAGCTCTCCTTCCCGCTCTGACCTTGGACGCTTTGTGTTACCGGCGCGATCCCGGCGTGGACACGCAGTGCTATGGGGTGGCTGTCGTTGAGACTGACGCGCACCGGCCAATGAGATCCTCGTCGACGCACGCCAACCAATGGGACTGAATAGGGTGACCACCCGTCCCGCGACTCGCGGGACTGTCCCGCATTGAGGGCTCGTGTCCCGCGTCCCGCAAGAAATACCAAAATCTTTAAAATGTCCCGCATTTCGCATTGTCCTAGCATTAGACTACGCAAATTCTGGCGCTTCTGAAGAGCGGGCTACGGGGTTGCGTGAAGGTCGCTGATGAACGTGTGAATCTCGGTTGCATGCCATTTTCTATACAAGCACTGCGTGCAGCGACCGTCGTTCTTACAGGAGTATGACAGGTATGTGCGTTTGTGCCTCGACCCTTGATAGCAAAATATTGCAAGCGACAATTGCTCGCCGAAATTTGAAAAATAATCTACTATTGTAGTTATTTGCAAATCATACTGTGTCATGCGAAAGGGTTGTCATGGAAAGCTTTTTTTAGTCAAGACGGCCACACAAGGAAAAAAAACCTGCAACTCACAAAGGGACATAAAAACAGCAACATAAGGTTATAATTTTGTGTAAGTGCATGTTAGCTTGTAAGTATCGAGAGGAAACGACAAGTCGAAAAATAATTACTGTTTCTTATTTCCCTTTCATGCATTGTGGTCTGGTGCAGTCGATTTACATGTTTTCAACTTAGGCACTCATAATAAAATATTTACCATAACAATTACACAAACAATATATCACTGCGAGTGAAAATTATTTTAGCTTAATTTCCGCTGCACAATCTTCAAGAGTATAATAGGCTTTCGGACTGCACAGGAGATTGGGGTGTGCGTGATGGTGAATTTTTTTAATACGTATTCGTGAGTCGTGAAAACACCGTCCTCCTCTCCTCTCCTGCCCCCCCCCCCCCCCCCCCCCCCCCAGGTCAGGGTGTCCCGCATTTCGCCTACAGGAAGGTGGTCAAACTAGGACTGAAGCCGAAATCCATCAGCTTGAATCCACTTTTTTGGGATCGGGGAAACTATAGGTGGCCGTTCCTGGGCTTTTCGCGTGGTTTCATAGCTGGGAGCTGGCTTCACTTGGAGAAAAGATTTAAGGTGCCGTTTAATGCGCTTCAAACTGATGACGCCGGACAAGTCGCCCGTTGACAAGTCGCCCGTCGAGGCAGATTAATTTCCAAGCTGTATAAACATACACACAACCCGATGACGTCGGCTCGCTCCACGGAACAGTTAATGCTTTCGCATTAAAATAGCACATACGCATTCGATGACGGCAAAATTATGTGTAAAGATTGGTGTGTATCTGAACTCGAAAAGAGCGTTCAAGGGTCTGCGTGGAAATCCGCTCATGTCATTGTCTCTCCTTGATATTCCACTGATGACAAAAAGTACAAAACAACATTGCAATAATCACAATGTATTAACGAATGAAATATTAATTTTGTAGATACTATTCTTGAAAAGAGAACTCAGGTTTCTTAAGAAATTTCCGCAACGTAAAAAAAACAAAAAACACAGCATAATTGAAGAGTTAAATATGTATTTCGTCACTACTTCATTTTCGGCCGAGATTGTGGTTAGGTCATTCAATTTTGAACACTGAAATATTTAGGAATAGGCGTCGATCGAAACGTTTAACCCGATCAGTTGCTAGTCTTCAATCAATGAAATAATTAATCAGTTGCGTGCATAACGTCTCAAAAAGTGTAAAACTACACTGTTTATTTCACTTTTTCTTGCTATGTCATCAAATGCGCCACGAAGAGCCTTATTTGACTATTGACGGGCGTCAATATTCAAATAAGGCGGTTGGTACAGAGCTGTACCACCCGCAGGAGAAATGCAATAACACGAGCGACCGATCTTAAGAACAAATGTTTATGAATTTTGGTTGAAAATTTATAATCCCCATGGGTGACTCTCGAACGCTAAACTACATTATCATAGCGCACAACAGTGCTGACTCCTAAAAACGACAAATATCACACCTGGCAGCAAGGGGGCATTTTTATAACTGAAAATCCAACCGATCGATTAACCGGATAAAATTATTAATGACGATTAATGCATTAGTTGATTAGTCGGAAGGTTAATTGATCAATTGCCCAGTCCTTTTTCTTCCGAGTGTAATGAATATACGAGTGATAGAAATGGGCGTGTATTTGGTATATTTTGTTAGTAGGGATCTGAACAGTGTGACAATCGATGTGGAAACGGAACAGGTGGAATCCGTCTAGTGACGGATACGAACGCCTAACCAATATGATATATATATGGCCATTGGTGTGTTTTACGGTTCTCCTGAAACCGGTGTCGAGACAGTTGTAGTCTAGAAGAAAAATATGTCTGTTCTAACCGCTGAGATTCTTTCTCTGGCAGGGGAGTTTAAACTTCCAGAACTAGAACAGCACAAATATAAGATAGTAAGGGTGCAGGCGAGCTGGTGGATGTTAACCATGTTGAATATACCTGAGACTGGGGTAGAAAAGAACATAAAAGTCGAAGAAAGAGAAAGGGACAGGACGACGTCTCCTGTCCCTTTCTGTTTCTTCGACTTTTATGTTCTTTTCTACCCCAGTCTCAGGTATATTCAACATAGAACAGCACGGTGATGACACTACTGTGTCAAATGAGGTTATTTATGTTAATTCGATGATATGATGACTCCCTATGATTTTGAACATCTTGTTCGGAAACCAAATAGAGGCGAAAATGTATTAGATCTGCTTCTGCGTAAAAGGGAAATTCTTCATGATGTGTCCGTCGTTTCAAATGTTAGCGACCACAACCTAGTCACTGCCAATTCAAGACTCGGTCAGCCTTGCCGTTCCCGAGGAAAGGATAAAGAAATGTTTATCTACAATTAAATTATTGAAACAAATAGAAAATAAATTGATGTATATTTAATACATTTCGAGCTTCTTGCTCTAAGTAACAGTATAGATGCCACATGGAACATTTTTAATGTAGTTTATAATAAATGATTTATAAATATATTAATATTTATAATCGTTTATTAAATGAAAAATTTTAAAAATCGCGAGAAACAAAAAGGAACACGTTTACTGAAATGAACTGATTTTACATTTCGTCTATATTTCAAATGGCGAAAGCAAAAACGAAAACGAAAACCGAATGACTTCTACCCTCAAAATACGTAAAGAAACGTAGATCTGGTTATCAGAAATATAATATTAAACCATGCATTTCTGCATCTGCCAAACTCGATAAAACTTGCTAAAAACTTTAGGAGATTTATTATCACGGTAATACGGGAGTATTTTGACAAACCCTCAAATGACATACGACTAAATAGCAACGATTTCTGAAAATAACTGCGAGGGGCATGTAAAAAGACATCAGAATTGCACACATTTTTTACCTGGACGACGTAAATAAAGAAAGTCACGAAGTCAAAACGAATTTAATTAATATTTTAGTTTGTATTTGCCTCTAGCGTGAGGCGTTATCACCCCCCCCCCCCCCCCCCG